TAATAATCTACCCATCACATCCTACTTTTACCCATCACATCAAGGGTATTTTTGGAAAGTCAAAACCAAAATATCCCTCCCTTAATTTCCCAAAAAGTCAAACCGTCCCATTTTTTTTGGGACGGAGGGAGTATTTGTTAATGAAAATTATATTATATATATTTGAAAATTAACATGTCATACTCTTATTTAAATTAGAACATTTTGAAAAATTAAGGTATATAACATTTTTGTGTGATGTTATAAAAGACTACCAAAAACATTTAAAACTAATACTTCCAACCCGACTTTTACTCTCACTCACTAAATCATAAAATTGGTGAAATTATTAAGAGCATCAACCACTATGTTGCAATCTATTTCCAAAAAGATATGCCTCCAATCTTTGTCTTTGATAAAGGTTCAAGCCTCATTTACATAAATTACCTCCACTTCTTTAGGTCTGAAACATCCTCTACCATTAAAGCTCCTTGATAATTTCAAGCAATAAAATGAACCCCGACACTCTATCAGCCAACCCCGTTAAAGCATCCTCATCAATCTTGATGTAGCCATTATACAACCATCATTGATGGACAAAAAAATTATTCTCCCCATATTAGTTTAGATTATCGAATAAAATTGATTCATCTCCGTGCATTAATATTATTCTCCTTCCTCATATTGATTAAAAAAAATTATTTTTCTTTCCACAGTTTAATTAAAAAATATGTTTGTGATTTTATTATTATTCTCCTTGCATTAGTTATGATTCAAAGAATATGATTCTTCTATCCTGCGTCATTGCTTTAATTTTGAATAGCAAAATAAATATCATTCATCTCTCACGTATTATTATGATTTTCCTCTCTCGCATTGATTAAAAAATATCGAAATCATTCTTCTCTCTCCGCATAAGTCAAAAAATAAAATCTTAGATTAACAATCCTATAATTCAAAAAATAAAAATAAAAAATAATTAAAATCCAATGATTCTATTCATTAACATTAATTTAAAAAATTAATAGAAAAAAAACATTAGTGATTCTATGATTTTGAGTAGAAATTTACAAAAATATGTTATAGTTTTTTTTTGTGTTTTTTCTTTTTATTTGAGCACAAAATTACTTCTTTTTTAATTTATTTGATTTAAATATTTGATCATTTTGAAAATATGCTAGTCGTTTGTAGTAGTTTAATGCAGAGATCAAAATATATTTTTTAAAAAATTTTATTTTATATCAATATTTAAAAAAATAAACTCAAAACTAAATTCATTTAAATGTGTCATAAAAATATGATTTTTTAGAGGTTATGAAAGTATCTATTTTAAAGGAAATCTCATTTATTCGTTGATAGTTTTATTATAAATGTTGTGAAAAAATATAAAATTTTAAAAAATGTATTCTAATGAAAGTGATGATCTATTTTTCATAATTAAATTTGCTTAATAATATTGAAATCATAAAGAATGTTAGTGTAAATGTAGTATATCTTGGTAACACATTTTTTTAATCAATTTTTAACTATAATTTAATTAAAAATATCACATAATAATTCATAAGAGATGACTAAGAATATTATATTTTTCAATTTAAATCATAAATAGTCTAAGGACTATAAACCAAAAAATTTATATAATAAAGTCAAATCATAAAATCAATATAATCGAACTATGAAATTAGACAAAGTATTTTTTCTATTGTAATATACTCCCTCCGTCCAAAATTAAACTTTACATTACGCGTTACGATGTTTGCCTGAAGTTATTTTCAAATCATTTTATATGAAAAATGGTGTAGAATTAAAAAATAAAAATTACATATTAAAAAACTATATCAAAAGATCTACAAAACTAGAGGTGATATGACTATATTATTTTATCAAATGGGTGACGAAAATAGGCGAACAAAGTGAATGAAGTTTGACCTTGTGAATAGTGAACGTAAAGTTTATTTGTGGACGGAGGGAGTAATTATAGTTAAGTCATCTCTTATTCTATATATCTTTTGATGTAAATTTTAAAATATATTGTGTGTTCCCCATATGTATATTTAATCAAATATTTCTTACCAAACTTTTAATTTTATATTTTCCATTTGAAAAATTATGTGACATATTAGGTGTTAGAAATGGTTACATAAAAATAATTTTCTTTTCTTTTTATTTAGTTTATAAATTGGGTTACATAAAAAAGCCACATAAGTAATGACATATGTCAGCTCTTAGTAATGTCACATGTCAGCTCCTAGCAATGCCACATGTCCTCTCCTTAGAGCTTGGAGTCTCATTTATATATATGAATGATAAAGGATTTAATCAAAAAAATAATTTCAAGTAAAGGTATGATAAATAGTTATAAAATGTATTTATAGGTGAAGAGAGGATTATCCAAGAGGCTTCACAGGCAGATACGTAATGACAATCAGAATACTTATTTGTTTCATAATACACCATAATATCAACAATGCCAAAGTTAGATTGGGTAACTGCAATAGTTACTTTATCTTAATCATAACATAAAGAAATATGAAATTTTTTTAAAGATAAAGAGAGTAGTTTATATATTCATCGAAACTATTATTATAAATGAAATGAAAAAAAAATTAAAAGAAATAAATATCTCTCTTTCTTAATTAAATGTACTCAATGATAATAAAATCATAAATAATGTTAGTGTAATATAATAAGTCCCAATGATATATTTTGTTTTAATCGTTTGTCTTTTATAATATAATAAAAATAGGTTTAAATATGTTTTTATACCCTATAAAATAAGAAATTTTTTCGTCTCAGTAAAATATTTTTTGATAAAGTCATCCCTACAAAATATTTTAATTTGAAAATAGTCCTTAACCTAATTAGAACTTCTAATTAGATGAGATAGTACATTTATTTCATACTCAACATATTAGTCATGTATTTCTAATTACATTTGATGCAATTTCTAAACCCTAAATTGTGTACTTATTCATATTACATATATTTGGTTCTCAAATTTCTTACGAATATAATATAATCAAAAGTTGAGAATTGGAAATGCAATTTGATAAAAGACACAATTGTTGACATCAAAATCGTGTCTGAAGTAATTGCAAATCTAAAACCAAGCTATTGAGTACAAAATAAATATGTTATCTCAACAACTTAAAAGTCTAATATATTTTACGTGCTTTTACAATTTATTTTCTAATCTTCTCATTTTTATAAAGTTTCATTGTAGTTTTAAAATAAGTTTTTTTAATCTTCTCATATTTTAATAAATATAATCAAACTGA